TAGTTGGGGATTGGTTCTGCTTTGAGCAGGGGGTTGGACTAGATACCTCCTGAGGTCTCTTCCAACCCTGATATTCTACGATTCTATGAACTGCCCCAATACAGTTTGGGAATCCCATGTGGGCAAACCCATTAATGATCTCCTGAGCATTACCAAGCTTTGTAACCCAGTGCGACTGTACCTTCACAGCTCAGTGTGACTGTACCTTTCCATGGCATCACACACCTGTATAATAACAGCTCCAACCACTGATCTCCCCAGGCCCAGTTGATTGGCTATGGACTGGTGTGACATTATTGACACAAACTGTGACCGTGTACATCATTGATGCAACCACTGTTCTATAGTTGCACCAAATCTTGTACAAAGTTTGTTGTGTGAGGTGTCTGGGAAGGTTATGATTTGCTGGTTATGATTATGCTGTCTGTATGCTGTGACAAAGTTCCTCCTCTATCTTGGTGGGTCCTGCGCTTATTGGCGGATTTTCTTGCCTCAGAGATTCACCATGTGGGTTGGGGAACAGCCCAGAGACCTTCCCCTCTGGAAGAACCCACAGTCCAGGTTAATTGGGAGGTTTGGGGGGAACCCGGGCCCGCCCTCTACTCCGGGTTCCAGCCCAGGGCCCTGTGGACTGCAGCTCTCTATATAGTGCCTCCTGTAACAGCTGCATGACAGCTACAACTCCCTGGGCTACTTCCCCTCTCACTCTCAGCTCCTTGCACCTCTTGCTCCCAGCTCCTCACACACGCACCACAAACTGAAGTGAGCGCCTTTTAAAACCCAGCTGCCCTGATTAGCCTGCCTTAATTGATTCTAGCAGCTTCTTGATTGGCTGCAGGTGTTCTAATCAGCCTGTCTGCCTTAATTGTTTTCAGAAAGTTCCTGATTGTTCTGGAACCTTCCCTGTTACCTTACCCAGGGAAAAGGGACCTAATTAACCTGGGGCAAATATTTCTGCCTTCTATCACTCTCCTGTAGCTTGGCGCGGTTTACCCCATCCCAGACACCTGCCCCTTTTGCAGCGTGAGGGGGACCCTGGCGCATGTTTACCTGGAGTGCGCCAGGCTGCAGCCCCTATTCCGGCTCCTCACGGATATTTTGTTAAGATTTTGGTTGCACTTTTCCCCTCACCTTTTTATTTATGCACTCCCTATCCGTCACCCCACAAAGTCACGGGACCTCCTGGTCAACCTCCTCCTGGCCCTAGCAAAACTGGCCATCGATAAACCAGAGTGAGGAGGTTGGCCGATGGAGTCTCCTGTGATTGTGGGGCCTGTTTCTGGTCCTCCGTTCGTTCACGTATCCGGGCAGAGTTCCTCTGGGCGGCGTCCACTGGCTCCCTTGACACCTTCGAGGAGCAGTGGGCGCTGTCCAAGGTTCTCTGCTCGGTGTCCCCGTCTGGTTCCCTTCTTTTGACCCTTTGACCTCACTCCTGTCCCTGTTCTTTTATTAGTTGTCCCCCATAATTTTTTGGTCTCCAGGTCCTGTGGACCCCCCATTAGGCTGGGGGGGATCCTTTAGCAGTGGGAGGGCTTTGCCCGCCCACTTCCTGGATCCCAATAGGACCAGACTCCTGTAGCCATCTGGCCTGACCCTGTCACACTGGTTAAAATATGACCATATAGATCATTGTTGCAACCACTGTTTCATATTTGTAACAAATCTTGTACAAAGTGTGGCATGTAAGAGGTCTATGGGAAGGTTATGATTTGCTGGTTAGGATTATGCTATCTGTATGCATGTATCATTTTTGTATTTGAAGTTATGAATACTGGCTCTATACCTGGATTTCAAATGTTTGCTCCTGGGGTAACGCCCACAAGGTAGTCAGCCAGCACAGCTTGGAGGCACTATTCAAATTAAGTGGGTCATCAAGAAACACTTAACTGACAACGCATCATGGGAGACGCCCATCTACACTGACAGGTTTCAGAGTAGCAGCCGTGTTAGTCTGTATCTGCAAAAAGAACAGGAGTACTTGTGGCACCTTAGAGACTAACAAATTTATTAGAGCATAAGCTTTCGTGGACTACAGCCCACTTCATTGGATGCATATCCGTATTTCGTGGGCATATGCATCTGATGAAGTGGGCTGTAGGCCACGAAAGCTTATGCTCTAATAAATTTGTTAGTCTCTAAGGTGCCACAAGTACTCCTGTTCTTTTTGCATCTACACTGAATGGACTTTCCTGCAAACGTGCTGTTTGGGGTATAGTTAATGGCTTCTACTGTGTCCAAACCTTCATGCGTGGACATGTGACCTGCCCAGATGACTCCAAACACGATCTTGTCTGCTGTAATTTTCCACCAGCTGTGCTGAGGGCTTTGTTTGAAACAATGGGTTCCCTCCACATGGCAGAAGATATAAAAGGCTCTGGAAACCCCTCCATTTTGCCTCTTTTCTGCTCCGACCTCTGGCTATGAACATATATTAATGGGAGCATCTAACCAACGGACTGAGAACCTTCCAATGATTTGGAAGCAGCCACAGACTTGACTTTGGCCAGCAGTTTATTCCATCACTGCTACAAGCCTGAACCAAGAACTTTGCAATTATTGTATGTATTTGATTCCTTTAGCCAATTTTAACTCTCATCTTTCTTTCTTTGTTGTTATTAATAAACCTTTAGATTTTAGATACTAAAGGATTGACAACAGCGTGATTATTGGGTAAGGTTTGAGTTATATATTGATCTGGGTGTGTGGCTGGTCCTTTGTGATGAGGAGAAGCTTTTAGTTGAAGAGATTGCTTGTAAAGAACCACTCACCTTTAAATCCAGTGTTTTCGGTGGTAATACAAGGACTGGGATGCCTAAGGAAACTGCTTTTATAACTTCTTGTTAGCCAGTGTGGTGAAACAGACGTTTACTTTTGTGGCTGGTTGGGTATATCCTATGGGGAATTAGCCACCACTCTTGGGGTGTATCTGTCCTATTTCTCAGCAGTTCATCCTGAGTTTGGTAGTAACACCCTCACTTTCCTTTCATAAAGGAGGTCAAATAGGGCAAACCCTGTGGATTTGTGGGGCACCTCCAGGTAAGTGAATAATGGTGGGGCAGCATTCTATCCCAGTCACCTTCTCTCCTTTCCATGTACATTTTCTACCTTGACTTTGGGGTCCTAAAGAACCACACAAGTAACCCATTTGTTTCTGGGGAAGATGAGGCAGATTGCAATTGTTGTACTCCACACATAGAATCACAGAACTGGAAGGGATCTCAAGAGGTCATCTAGTCCAGTCCCCTGAACTCAAGAAAGGGCTAAGTATTATCTAGACCAGGGGTCGGCAACCTTTCAGAAGTGGTGTGCTGAGTCTTCATTTATTCACTCTAATTTAAGGCTTCACGTGCCGGTAATACATTTTAACGTTTTTAGAAGGTCTCTCTATAAGTCTATAATATATAACTAAACTACTGTTATATGTAAAGTAAACAAGGTTTTCAAAATGTTTCAGAAGCTTTATTTAAAATTAAATTAAAGTGCAGATCTTATCAGTTTAGTGTGATCCTTGCCCTTGTTTTTCCTTGCTGAGTTTTCCAATGTCTGGCCCGGATTTGAATACTTTAAGCTGCACACAGGCTTCTGAGTGATCAATTGTTAACCGGCTCGACTCCGAGAGGGACAGAGGACAGATTTCAGGTGTGAAAATACCTGCTCACTCAAGTATGTGGATCCGAATGCTGAGAGCATTGCAAACGCAATTTTCTTCAAACAGTTACATTTCACTGGCAGGGACGTCCAGCAAGGCAGAACAGAGGCCCCATGATCTCTCTCGGTAGCTTCAAGTGCGCTCCGCAGAGCCACAAACTTTGATGTCCACAATTCTGAGCTTTTTAACTGAATGAGCTGCATTTCGAAATCTTCAACACCCATCCACTGAAATACAGACAAATCCAAGTCGCTTTCGTTGAACTTTTCAGGTTTAATTAGAAAAGAAAGCAATGGGCAAATTGCTGGAAATCTTGAAATCTGTCAGAAAATTCTGATTCCAGTTCTTGCATGTACTTTCCAATCTCATCGACGCTGACTGTGCAACGTGTCGATAGCTCTTTTATGAGTTGGAAGTAGCGGAAAGTAGAAGTTTGAATATCCCTGGAAAAAACTGCTAGTTTCACAACAAATGCTTTCCAGGCTTCATAAAGATCCAGAACTGTTTGCCCTGCACCCTGGAGAGAGAGGTTGAGTTCGTTTAGGTGAGCGTTGATATCAGTTAGAAACATGAGCTTACACAGCTGTGACAATGCGGTTCTGGCGGGACCCAACTGAGAGTGCCAATTCAGGACTAATTGCTCAAAACAGGGCAGTTACAGCCCAAGGCTGGGGTTTTTCCACCTCTAAGGCAAACCAAACCAGCCAAAGAGGACTTTGGTTTCACCCCACTGGCTAACCACAAGTCGCACAAACTATTCTCTTAGACACTCCAGTTTCCCAGTATCACCACCAGTGCCACTCGTTATGGGGACAAATGGTTATGAAAACCAATATCCCAATATACATAAAAAAAAGGTTCTCCTGATCCCAAAGGACCAAGCCCCAGACCCAGGTCAATATACAAATCAGATCTTACCCACAAATCACGCTGTTGCCAATCCTTTAGAATCTAAAATCTAAAGGTTTATTCATAAAAGGAAAAAGATAGAGATGAGAGTTAGAATTGGTTAAATGGAATCAATTACATACAGTAATGGTGAAGTTCTTGGTTCAGGCTTGCAGCAGTGATGAAATAAACTGCAGGTTCAAATCAAGTCTCTGGAACATCCCCCGCTGGGATGGGTCCTCAGTCCTTTGTTCAGAGCTTCAGTTTGTAGCAAAGTCCCTCCAGAGGTAAGAAGCAGGATTGAAGACAAAATGGAGATGAGGCATCAGCCTTATATAGTCTTTCCAGGTGCAAGCACAGCAGTAGCTAATGTCAGCCCATCGTCTCCAGTGGCATGGGAGGAGGTGATAAGCTCACCAGTTATGTCAGGACTGAGGCATGGCAGGGGAGTGAGAGGTTTATTATGGAGGCAAAGGTCAATGGTGTTGAATGCACGGGATGGCGAGACACTGGCTCGGATGTAACTATAGTCAAGGGACATCTGGTGAAGCCGGAGGACATGCTGCCGGGGGAGTATGTGACGGTAGTGGCGTTATCAGAGTATTCTGTGGACCTGCCGATGGCTAGAATCCACCTTGAGTGGGATGGCTTTAAAGGGGATGTGAAGGCTGCTGTCTGGGATTTGATTCCGGCTGATGTGTTGGTAGGAAATAACATATTGGGGGTTCCTGGCCAAGTTACTGTAGTGACCAGGTCACAGAAAGAATTTGGGGCTGTGGCAGATACCCTGACTGATGGCAGTGAGGGGGGCAGCAAACAGACAGAGAGTGCCTCTCAAGATGGATCAGGCGAGGGTTTGTCTGAAATATCAGAGATGATTCTGAATCCAAACAAAACCCAGAGTAAATTCATTGTGGCTCAGCAGAGTGATGTATCTCTAGAGAGAGCCAGGAATGATGCTCAGAGTCAGGTCCCGGCCTGTGAAGAGAGAGGCAGGTTTTTTATGCAGGATGGGCTGTTGTATAGGGAACCACCTAGGGGAAGGAAGAATTCCCAAGCAGCATCTCGCAAACAGCTTGTGGTACCTGAGAGTTACCGCAATGATTTGTTGAAGTTGGCTCATGATAGTCCCTTTGCAGGACATCTGGGTATAGGCAAAACGTGTGACAGGCTAGAGCAGAATTTCTACTGGCCTCACCTTTCGGGGTCAGTGAGAGATTACTGCAGGAGCTGTGAGCTGTGCCAGAAGCGTAAGGGGTTAAGGGGGTGTTAGGTAAAAAGCAAGTCCTTACTCACCTCTCCAGCACCCGAGTTCGTGCGGAGTTGGTATGGGGCTCACAATCTGTCAGAGACCAGACACCAATTCGTTGATCAATGGGCTCACACTATCCTTAGCTTGAAAAGCTTCAGAGTAAGTGTGGCAAGTTTATTAGGGGTGAGCATCAATATTTATACACAGAAGTAAACAAAATGATTAACAGATCATAATGGTCATGTATAATCAATCAAGATTCTACAGGATAAAACAGGTTAAAATGTAAATTCAGAAAGAGAAAAGGGGAGATGGCTACTTAAGGGGAGGGGGGTGTCATGAGTAGTTCGCAGGTCAGAGCTTTGATTAAAAGTTCAGACAGAGACATCAAGTCTGGGTTAAGTTTAAGCTCATCAAAAGTTCAGACTCAACAGGGGCCTAGCAAGGTGCCCCTCCGGCCTCTGCCCATTACTGGGGAGGCTTTTGCCAGAGTATGTGACGTTATTGATATAATCTGGAACCATATAAAACATGGTTGCAACCAAAGTCTGGTAGTGGCACCAAATCTTGTATAAAGGGGGTCAAATGAGGTGTCTAAGACAAGGTTATGGATTGCTGGTTATGATTAGGCTGCCTAGATATGTGTATCATTTTGTAGTTGAAGTTATAAATATTGGCTCTGTACTGTCTGTATCTCAAACTTATGCTGTGCTTCTGGGAAACCTCCCAGACAGGTGGGTGTTAGCTCTGTCTAGCCTGCTTGATGGCCCATTAAGGACCATCAGCTATACAATTGACCCATGGAGAGACGCCTTGTAACTCAGCAAAGTATGCAGGAACTTGCCCATGTGACTCCAGACTCCATTTTGCTGTGATTTTCCACAGTAAGGACAAAGAGGTGTTCTTACACCTGGAAAGACTATAAAAGGCTGATGCCTCATCTCCATTTTGTCTTCCATCCTGCTTCTTACCTCTGGAGGGACTTTGCTACAACGTGTCGATAGCTCTTTTATGAGTTGGAAGTAGCGGAAAGTAGAAGTTTGAATATCCCTGGAAAAAACTGCTAGTTTCACAAGAAATGCTTTCCAGGCTTCATAAAGATCCAGAACTGTTTGCCCTGCACCCTGGACAGGGCCGGCTCTAACTTTTTTGGTGCCCCAGGCAGCAAAAAAAAGCACCGCGCCGCCGAGCCTCCCCCGCCGAGTGCCGCGCCGCCGGAACCCCCCCTGAGCGCCGCACCCCCCGCCGCCCTCCCGCTGAGCGCCGCACCACCAGAGCCCCCCCTGAGCGCCGCGCCCCCCGTCAAGCGCTGCGCCGCCGGAGCACCCCCCCCCTGCAGAATGCCGCGCTGCGCCGCGGTGCCCCCCGCCACCCAAAGATTGGCCGCCCCTTACCAGGGGCTGCCCCAAGCATGTGCTTGGTTTCCTGGTGCCTGGAGCCGGCCCTGACCCTGGAGAGAGAGGTTGAGTTCGTTTAGGTGAGCGTTGATATCAGTTAGAAACATGAGCTTACACAGCCATTTGTCATCATCCAGTTCGGGGTACTTTTGTTCTTTTTCCGACAACAAGGCCTTGATTGCATCAGAACAGTTTACAGAGCGCACCAAAACCTTGCCACGACTTAGCCACCGAACGTTGCTGTGAAGTGGGATGTCTTTATAAGCACTGTCCATCTCTTCTAGCAGTGCTGGCTGGGAAGAGGCAGGGAACCCAAGTCTGGGGTCTAAGCTCCTTGCCCCCGCAGAGGGACCTGGCTGAGGGGTCCTGGTTGTACCTACAAGCCCTGCTTGGGACTGTGTTCCTGTTGTCTAATAAACCTTCTGTGTTACCGGCTGGCTGAGAGTCCCGGTGAATCGCAGGAAGTGGGGTGCAGGGCCCTAACTCCCCCACACTCCATGACAGGAGTCACATCGGCAAGTCACATGTCCATGCATGACTCAATTTGCAGGTGACAGCCATGGCTCACATGCTACCTTGAACGTCCCAGGAAGACTTTTCATGTGGACTGGAGTCTCCCAAGGTCCATTGTCAGTTCAGTGTTTCTTGACTGGGCACTTACTGAGAATAGTCCCTTCTCAAGAAGCTGCCCAAATGCTTCACTGAGGACACTTAGAGTTAAAACACATTGAGATACAAGTACATAGCCAATATTCATAACTTCGACTACAAAAATGGTACATGCATTGTGACAGACCCAGACCAGTGGGGTACAGGAGTCTGGTAGAGGGCAAATATACTGGTCACTGGATGAGTAGTTTTCTGTTCCCTGAGTGACCAGAGCAGGGGCTGCACTAGAGGAATCAGGAACCTGCTAGAACCAGTTAAGACAGGCAGGCTAATTAGGACACCTGGAGCCAATTAAGAAGAAGCTGCTAGAATCAATCAAGGCAGGCTAATCAGGGCACCTGGGATTTAAAAGGAGCTGACTTCAGTTTGTGGTGGGAGTGTGAGGAGCTGGGAGCAAGAGGCACAAGGAGCTGAGAGTGAGAGGGTGTGCTGCTGGAGGACTGAGGAGCACAAGCATTATCAGACACCAGGAGGAAGGTCCTGTGGTGAGAATAAGGAAGGTGTTTGGAGGAGGCCATGGGGAAGTAGCCCAGGGAGTTGTAGCTGTCATGCAGCTGTTACAGGAGGCACTATAGACAGCTGCAGTCCACAGGGCCCTGGGCTGGAACCCGGAGTAGAGGGCGGGCCCAGGTTCCCCCCAAACCTCCCAACTCCTGATCAGACACAGGAGGAGTTGACCCGGACTGTGGGTTCCACCAGAGGGGAAGATTTCTGAGGCAAGCAAATCCGTCAATAAGCGCAGGACCCACCAAGGTAGAGGAGGAACTTGTCACACCAGATAATATCCCAGAGGAGTTAATGACTCCTGGGAGAATGGGCCGAAAGCAGAAGGGGAACCAGTGGCTGAATATGTGAAGTGCTTTAGGGTGGATTGGGCTAGTGCAGCAGCACCTCCCGAAGAGCCAAGCGGCACAGAAGGGTTGGTGTGAGCCCCATTCCCGAGGGGAGCCCCACTGTGGGTTCTCCGCCCTGGGAACAAGCACCGAGTGCAGAGTTCATGGGACGGGCCTCGGGGATTGCAGAAAGGGTTGTGGAAATGACCTACCGCAGCAAGGCTACGTCACAAAGGGCACGGAAAGCGGCTAAAGGCCTCTCCCAGTCCCAAGGCCACATGAAGCTGATGCGCTGTGCTGCGGAGGACTGGAAGACCGTCCCTCATTGATTTGATGACCACATGGCCCAGCGCTACCACACTGACGAGCAAAGGGTTAATGGCTGGCACCAGAATAGTCAGCAATTCAGGCTGCGTTGCAAAGTCACCAGCAAGCTGGGTCTGACAGACACATTGGTCCGTGAGGTCACTGAAGGGCCGCAGCGTGTCCCAGCAGAGCCTGCCGGCTGGCTGGCAGAGTGCGGGAGCGTGGGATGGGGCGCTAGCAAGCGTGCCGGAATTGGGGACAATTACTGGGTCTGATAGTCCTTGGGCTGCCCCAATCATCATGGTCCCCAGAAAAGATGGGACGATGAGGCTTTGTGTCCATTGCAGAAAACATAGCGCTGTCACGGTGCATCCCCCATGCCCAGCATGGATGACAGGCTGGACAGTTTCAGCAGAGCAAAGGTTTCGAGCACCCTGGATTTAACCCAGGGTATTGGCAGATCCCCCAAGTCAGTGAAGCAGAGAAAAAATCTGTCTGCCTTGCTGATTTGGGACTTCTGGAGTTGCAGGTGTTACCATTTGGGTTAACTGATGCAGCATCTGCCTCCATCCCCCAGGCCCCCACCTCCCTTCCTCCCTCTGCCCCCAGCCCCCTCTGCCTCCCTCTGCCCCCAGCCCCCTTCCCCTCGCTGCTGCAGACAGCGACTGGCTGGAGCTGGAGCTGGCCCTGGGAAGCAGGGTGAGGCAGCACAGGGAGATGTACCCAGGTGCCTGCAGAGGGGCTGGGCAGGGAGGCCTAGGCCATGAGGGGCTGCGGGGGGAGGCAGGTCAGGCCATACATGGAGCATGTCACAGCAGCTAACCAGTTTTCTGCCATGTCCCTGGGGCCCAGCCTATGCACCGTCACTCATGCTATTCCCGGTACAGTCAGAGCGTCTCCTGTCCAGAACCATCTGGGCCAGCTCCTGAGGGGGTCACCTGCTGGTTTCTATACAGATCTTGCACAGGGGGCTGCTGGCTTCCCGGTCTCGGAGGTGGGGGGTACTGCAGCTGGGAGACATACAGAGCTCTGGCTTTTGGAGGGTGATCCTGCCTTCGAGCCCTTCAATGCAGGCTGATTAGTGAGAGATGCTGAGTGAGAGACGGCACGAGAGAACGGATGCTTAGCGAGAACGGTTCCTCACCGGGCTGTGGGGCGGAAATGACAGACCGAGCTCGAAGCGTCGAGGGGCTGTGAAATGAGCCTTGCTTCAGTGCCGTCTCAAACCTGATGGGGGTGGGGGGCG